GTTTTATCGTGCTTCTCAAGTATTACATTTATTTTTTAACAAATTGAAGCTGTTACAACCCAGCATTGAGCCAGTTAATTGGTGTAACTTTTCCGACAGCTCAGATAATTGTTAGGATTTTTCAGCACTAAAGTATTTTTAATGAAGGCATGTGTTTTTATACTTGATTCTGTTGTACACTTTATAAACTATAGTGTCAACATAACTTACATGCACTAGAAAACAAAAAAAAATTCACATGACTCACTTTATTGTGTGATTTGGTGAAGTGATTTGGAGCCCAAACTGCAATGTCACTTGAGATATGCTTGTTTCAAAAGTCTTAAAATGGTGTCCGTTAAGCCACACATGTAACTTAGTGAAGTAGTGTACAAGTATTTGTTAAGGTTTATAAATGTGTTTTTTGCAATGTTATTAGAAACATTGAAATGGACAATAAGTAGAAGACTGGTTATGTTACAGCTGTATGTACATCTATATAAAGTCACTAAACTTGATTTTGAATATATAAGGATGGAAAACTACTTACTATATAATGCTGAATGACCCAGGCTACAAAACTATAATATAATCCCAGACTTTTATAGACATACCTATGTACATAAAGTATTAGAGAAATATGAAAGGAGACAGATGTATTTATATTTTTCTATTAGTTTCAAATGTATTATAAAGACCATATATTTATAGCCATTTATTTATTTTCTCAATTATAAAACAAAGTTGATAACACTAGAAAGGCTAAGCTAATAAGCCAATGCTTTCAAGTAACTTAGAAATTTCTCTGAAATTAAAAGCTTAAGTAATATGATTTACAGTCATAGAGTACCTTTAAAATACCAGAATTGTGTAACTGGAAAGGTATTTGAAGCAATGTAACTGCCTTCTCTTGCCACCATTTTACATCTTAAATACAGACACTAGGTTTAAGGGTATTTGCTCAAGGTTATTCAGCATGTCAATGATAATACTAGCCCAGGTTTTTATGCTCCTTTCAATCTGCTCTTCTGCTCTTTTCCACCATCTCTTGCTTTCTCTTTATGTTATTAGTCAAATCCTCTTAGACAACCAGGCTTCAAACGTCATAATCACTTTCTGTGGCTTCTCTTTTCTCATCATGATACTGATTAGTCCTTGGGTCTTTTGACTGTTTTTCTATTGTCTCTTAAATCCAGTCCCATCAAGTTGTGCAACAGAAAAGTTGTCCAGATGGTGCATCACCAGGTTGTATTAAAGTGCCTAGGAAATTTTTTTACTACATTTTTGTGAACTATAGACATTTGGCATTTTAATTTGCCAGTATATTAATTCATTATTTGAGTTCAAGCAATTACTAGTTCTGATTTTCATACAGAGTTAAGTTCTGCATTAAATTGTCATAAAAATACTCAGTGGTATTTTCCCAACTTATATTTACATCTTGTTTTAGTATCTTCATATACAGGCTTGTGCTGTAACTAAACTGAATTACTTTCTTTTCCCTGAACATATCTTCTATTTCCCTCTTATCTGTGCCAGGAAAATCCTTGTTTATGCTGTTCTGCGTACAGAGCATACTTCTTTGACCTGTGTTTGAAATTCATATTAATCTTTCACTCTCTTTCTCATTATGATCAACAGTATGTTCTTATAAATCATTTACTCAGAATTTTAGGCTGTTATGACCATAGAATAGAGGTAGCCTTGGTGGTTTGTGATTTTTACTACCGTCAACGTCTAGAATTAGTTATATCTTAGTCCATGGTAGTAGTGGGTCCATGGTGTGGTAGGCTACTGGAGAGGTGGGAATGACTAGGTGACCTAAAGAAAATTTGAATTGTAAAGCAGTTGGGACTACCCCTTGCTCATACATTTACTTTTCTTTTTCAACATTGCATTTTTCTTTTATTATTTTTTCCTATTTCTTACCTTTGTAAGTATGTCATCTTCTGGTCATTCAAGTTCAGCTTAACAGTGACCTTACTCCTTGCTCAGTTACTTTTCCTGTTCACCATTACCTTTTTTTCCCCCTATTATACTTGGAAGTATGTCATCTTCTGGTCATTCAAGTTCAGCTTAACAGTCACCTAAAAAAGTCTCCTGTAATCTCTTGGCCTAAAATAGCCATTCAGTGCTATGTTAGAAACCTATTTTAATTTCTTCACCTTAACTAACCATGTTTAAAAGTTATTTTGCTTTTTAATATGTTTCCTTGTTTATTGTCTTTCTCCTACTAGAATTTGTATACCAGTAGGAGAGAAACACTGTTATATTCAATAAAGAATCCCTGGCAACTAGAATCAAAGTTAGAATTGTCAGAGACTATTAAGGGTCACTAACTGTTTGCTTAGAAGGCATACAAGACTTTTGAGGATAACACTTAAGGCATGATAGGCTGGTTGGTAATTCAGTTGGATAATTTCAGTATTAAATATCCTTTCCCAGAGAGTACTTTCTTATGGTATAATGTGATTGTAATACTGTAAAATATGTCAGTTAGCAAAGTGTACAGATCTGTTCACATTTAACTGTGTTATTGATAACTTTAATAATCACTGATGGCATAGTTAACAGTAGGTGGCAAAAAGCCAAGATGAATAGCCCCATATTAAATGATAAACTCAGAAATTTAAGATTTCAACAGGCTGTCCATGAAGCAAATCTATTCAAAAGAAAATTGAATCAAGATATTCAGTCTTAGGCTCATGTCTAGAAAATAATTTTATAGAATTAAGGCAAGAGTACTTAGGATTTTGTTAACTCTTAATATGAGTTAATAGTATAATTGAGCTGCAAAGATAAAATGTTATCTATGGACCCAAGCTATGATAAATGAATTATAATGCACAGAACAAGAGAGACAATAGCCCTATAGTATATTGGCCAGACAACTTGGTGAGGGGGGAAGCCTTGGTTCCCAATAAGGGATGATCTGTCTACATGGCTTGCTATTGTTGGAATCTTGAAAAATCTTTGTTACACTTCATGTCTTCAGCCATCAAGGGGGACAAGAGAAGTTAGATAAATCTAGGGCTAATCAACCTTGTGTTACCAGTTTTTAGACATTTCATAAATTATTAAATGTCCATGTGCAGAGTTGAGCAGGAATTTGATCCAAAGTCTAAGTTAGAAAAAAAGACAATTGCAGGCCCAAATTAAAAGTATACTTTTAGCAAAAGCAGGCTCTAAGTCCCTGTTTACAAAAGGAAGACTGAAGTTTCAAAAGTTAAAACTTTAGAGTGTTTTTAAATATATGGTTTAAAACTTTCAGATCTCATAATTTGTACTAAGTTATGAAATTATTGCACCAAAGCTAGCCTAATATGTAGATAAGAAAGAAATGTCAATATGTGCCTATAAATTATGCCTTTAAGTTGTTAATAAAGAAATATTTTTATTTGTGTAGCTTGTTATACACATTGTACTAATTAAAGTATCATGTCACATTTATCATATTTAAGGTTTATAACAACCATGAGAAATAGGTATTATTTGCATTTTGTAGTTAGGGAAACTGATGCTTAGAGAGGTTAAGTCACCTAGCTACTGAGTGAGAGCTAAGAGTTTTGTAATCCCTGCATAGTATCTTTTCAGGTATATTTTCTGGCTTATTGTACAAGGCTCATGAAATTAGCAAGACATGCTTTGTGAATGAGAATCTGAGAGGCAGCCTCTGTGGTTACTCATTTCTTTTTTTCCTAGAAGAAACTTAAATGTTCAACCCTCCCAGAATTTAGGAGATTATTTTTGACAACAAAATGAAATTTACCCTGAGGCTAATGACATTTGCCCAAGCTTCCATAGTTCTCCCCTTCTTTCTCCTCCCTTCCAAAAATCCAATTAAACATATTTTATATAAATACTAGACTGGTAAAAATGCTATTACTTCATCAATCCAAATATCAATGAATTTGCAACATATGATAGAGCTCTCAGAATTGGCACAAACAATATATAATGCAGAATTCAGAGAAGGAATTTGTGGTACAAAATAAGAGACCTGGAAATACAGACAGTTGAAATTAAGCAGTCCCAAATCCAATTACACATTGTGTGTCTTTAGCCAAGTTACTTAACTTTTGAGAGCCTTAATTTTCTTATTTGAAAATCATGATATTCCCTACTCCACATAATTGTTTGCTGCAGCTTTATAAATGGTATTATTTGTTGAAATTTTTACATATATGTTATATTTTTGTATAAGTATCTCCATTTTATATGTAGATCCCAAATGTGGTGCCTTTTCACAGTGATATATTTCATCCTAATTCCTGGAAGTACTCATGGTGTCTTTCTAAACTGAAAATCTGTGAACCCTGAAGCAAATATGAATATTGTAAGTTGCAAGGAAATTAAACTTCTAAAATGACAGAGAATGTTACTTTTTAAATTGTGGAGTTTTTGAGTTAATATAGTCAAATGTATATATACCTGTGAATTTATATATTTTGATATGGGTCAACTAATGTTTCTTATATACTATTTTGTAGTTTACAGTTTCCCCCTCAGCCTTATTCTATCTCTGTGAATGAAAAAAAAACATATATATGTACAAATTTTCTCCTATATATTCACATATGTACAAATTTGAAATAAGAGATATGTGCATAGACTGAAAAAACTTTATGGATGCATACATATTTTAAAACTACATGGGTGAATAAGTACAGATATATATGGCTGAGTAAGTATAGGTATGAGTGACTAGAGGTTAGAAAAGGAAAGATTAGTGGATTGGTTCTTGGGATATCTCTTTAAGAGCAGTGATTAAAAAACTTTTTGGATTTATTTATCCTTGAAATCCCTGTGATTAAGACTGGTGCTAAATAGGCATTCCATAAATATTTATCACTTAAATCATTCAGTGAATTGATGAGAATGAAAGTTCGTAATAAGCCTGGGCCAGGTGTAGTGGTGCTGAGCTACTCAGGAGATAGACACAGTCTGAGGCTAGTCTGACTTAAACAGTTAGGAAAACTCAGTCTCCTGAAACAAGATTGCTGTGGTGGTGCATATCTGTAATGCTAGGTACGTTGGAGGCAGAAGTAGGAGGATAACAGTGAAAGCTCCACCCCGGGTAAAAGCAGGAGACATCTAAAAAAGCAAAAAGGACTGAGGGTATGGAGGGTAGTGCCTTTAGTTCAAACCCCAGTACCACCAAAAATAAAACAAACATAGAACAAAACAACAACAAAAAAAAGTAGTTCATAGGCCATCTGAGGTTGAGAGAGAAAACCATGATTCATTATTACATAATGGGTTAAAAATGGTAAACCACTCAATATGCTACAAGGATTTTTTATTTTTTTGATTTGTTTATCCAGAGCCAATAATTTCCTACTGGGGCTATCCAGATGAAGTATATAATGTTGTAACTGAAGATGGTTATATCCTTGGCCTTTACAGAATTCCTCACGGGAAGACAAACAACAATTCAGGTAATCAACTGAAGATAATTTGGTGACTATTTGGGGCCTGAAGATTTTAACTTTTTAAAATTTCTTCTCAGTGAACTTAGTGCAAGAGAAGTATTTTAAGGTATAATAACTGTCTTCATGCCTCAAAAAGAGAATCTGATTCCCCTCTGGGTTGCTGTTCATAGAGTAGTTTTAAAGTATGTGGAGCACAAGTTGTTCCTCCCAGGTTTTCTATGTGAGTAACTTTAATTCATTCCTTTATCAGATAATCATACTCATCATACATGTTGATTCTCTAGAATTTTTTTGTTGAGGAGGAATTAGAAATGCCTGAAACACAATTGCCTTTTTATTCTTTATGTTTGAAAAAAAGAGGCTGATAAATGTTTCTCTTCTTTGCCTATGATTCTTTCCTCTACTAATAGCAGAGAGATCAGATTGGTAGCAACCTCTTGACTCTTTATTCCAGCAGTAAGTACATTTGTATCAGTACAAAATGTACTGGGCTGTTACCCTAGATCTGCCAATTTTTAGTAGAATATGCAATTAAGTACATTTGCTTATTCATCTTATTGCCCAATTAAATGACAAGGTTTTTTCTTTTCTTCTCAGATTTTCTTCCTGAAAAGAATGTTTATCATTTTGCAGGATACTTTCTCAAGCTCTTATTTTGAACATTAAAAAGTATACTTCAAAGAAGACATTAATTTGAAACAACTTCAATCAATGTAGTTTTTGATACTTAAAAAGGTCACAGCTGTTACGTAGAAATTTTAACAGATTTAACATAATAGTAAATATCACTCATAGTATGACCTCATTTTGCAAGTAGTATAATAAAATATTTAAAGATAATTTTAAAATAAAACAAATGCATTGTAGTGCTGTATAATCAAAGACTAAGAACAAAATTCAGGAGTATATACAATTTATTGATAGAATACTGTTTAGGAAAGGTCGTGTGGGAATTAGGATAGGCTTCAGGAAGGACCTAAGGAAGGGTATAGAACACTGAGGTATAGTGATTTAAGAGGAGTTCCTGTATCCCATGAATAGTTACTACAGAAGTGATCTCACCTTGAAGTTAGGGAGCCTCTTTTTGCATATCCATATCAGTTAATCATTGCCTAAAAGTTATCTCTAAAAGGAGCCAAATGGGTGAGGGAAATTTCTACAGAGAAAGAAGCTACAATGAACCGCTAGAAAGAAACAGTAAAGTTATAACTAGTACTTATAAATTAACTCCTGGACCATTCATTCTGTATTTGTCTATCACCCACCAACTTTCTGGATGACATAAACTAATCCCTTATCCATAAGGACTTCCATATTGATATTAGATCATAGTTGTAATTGTCCATGTACACTTAGAACAGAGCATGGGAGTAGCAAAGGATGCCTCAGTAGAGTGAGTCACTTCTGTGGATCCAGTAAGTTCAGAAAAATCTGGGATTCAACTTTCTGAAGTTATCCTTCCCAGATACAGTTATTTCAAGTCTCAGGATTACACCTCTGCCTGATTATGGCCCTAAATATGGCATGAGTTCTAGCCAGTGCAGAGAATTCAGCCTTCCCAAACTTCTGTTATTCTTATAATTGGGTCCTGACCAAGGTTTTCAACTCAGTTTTCCCTCTGGATATAGGACAAGGGGTGGTCAAATGCTGCCCTCGAGGCCATATGACTTTCACACTTTCAGTTGGTGATTGTTTGTCCCAGCACCACACAGCCCTGTTCCTTTTGCTGTTCAAAATGTCATTGGCAATCAGCAACAGCCACCTAATACCTTACTGGCATAATTAAACTTCCCCTGTACTTCTCAACTGCTAGAGATACCATAAAAGCCACTGAATTATTCTAATTCACTATAGGTGAATATGGTATATATTGTAGTGCTACTCATGCAAGGTTCTTTCTATACTCATCTACAATTAGTGATGTGATTCTTATTTCCTGCTAACCAGCAACTCCAAAACCTCATCCTTAAATGTGTCTGCTTCCTTCCTCACTTTTGCTGGTAACTGTTAGGTCAAATTCCCTAGAAACAAAGCATATGAAACAGATTTGGATACACATGAAGTTTTTAGAGAATCTCAGGAAAAAGTTGATAGGGGAAACTGAAGACAGCAGAGGAAGAGGGTAAGCAATGATGTGGTCTTAGCTGAAGTGTAGTTTCTGCCTGGTCCCTTGGGGTAATAGCAAACTTGAAGTATATCAGAGTTGATCTAACCTTGAAACAGAGAAGTCAGCCTTTGTACCTTTGTGTCACTTAGTCAAATGTGTGGATTTGTCTTTCTTGCCCCCCAGTATGGGAATTCCCTTATAGCCAAAATTACATTATTCAAAAGGTCATTTTTCAATAAAGTTGGAAGTACAAATTGAGACTCTGGAAACAGGTGATTAGAATAGTTGCTCTACATGATAAAAGCTTTAGCACACAAGGGAGGGGTGAGGATAGGTAAGACACCTAAAAAATTAGTTAGCATTTGTTGCCCTTAACGCAGAGAAACTAAAGCAGATACCTTAAAAGCAACTGAGGCCAATAGGAAAAGGGGACCAGGAACTAGAGAAAAGGTGAGATCAAAAAGAATTAACCTAGAAGGTAACACACATGCACAGGAAATTAATGTGAGTCAACTCCCTGTATAGCTATCCTTATCTCAACCAGCAAAAACCCTTGTTCCTTCCTATTATTGCTTATACTCTCTCTACAACAAAATTAGAAATAAGGGCAAAATAGTTTCTGCTGGGTATTGAGGGGGTAGGGGGGGAGGGAGGGGGCAGAGTGGGTGGTAAGGGAGGGGGTGGGGGCAGGGGAGAGAAATGACCCAAGCCTTTTATGCACATATGAATAATAAAATAAAAAAGAAAAAAAAAAGAAGACAATTGTCAACTGCAAAGAAAATTGAAATTACACATTTGTTTACTAGAAATACATTTTATGGTTTAATAAACTTTGATATTTTCTTTTTAAAAAAAAATAGAATAGTGGCTCTAATGTAATGACATCAGTATTGAGTATGTCTGTGAAAAAGTGACCATAAAATATTTTGTGAAATGTAAAAGTGGGAAAGTAATATAAAATATCTTATTTAATATTATAATTTGAGAGTGCCCAAATTATTATTAGATATTTGGTTATTCTCTGTCCTTGAAATGTATATATTTAAGTGGGATGTGACACAATTTCTTACTTGGTTATTTGAAAGAAATCAACTGGTATAGTGTTATTAAGCAATTCTATCATACAATGGTATTAAATATTAGGAATTTATGCCCATTCATGCAAACAGATTTTAAAGCCTTCAAGCTGTCATTATTAAAGGTTTGAATTTCAGATAAAAGTTTTTCATGTGGATGTTACACAATTTAAAAAGAAATTTTCCGTATTGTTTTCCAGCTCAGAGGCTTGTTGTATACTTGCAACATGGTTTGCTTACATCTGCCAGCAATTGGATTTCCAATCTTCCCAACAATAGCCTGGGCTTCATTCTGGCAGATGCTGGCTATGATGTATGGATGGGAAATAGCAGAGGAAATACCTGGTCCAGGAAACATACTTATCTAAAAACAAGTTCCGAAGAGTTTTGGACTTTCAGGTACAAATAAAATTAAGTAACTTTTAATTTTATTTTAAAAGTATACTGAATATTATGTTTTCTCTTTCGATGAAATAAAATAAAACACAGGTCTCACTTTTTTTTCTCAGCTCAGGGCTTTCCATAAAACTTTAGCTTGAGAATTAAAGAGTGCTTGTATAATTTTGAGTTTATTTCTCTGTTTTTCAGCATTACCCTTTATTTTTAACTTGATTTCTTATTGACTAACCACATCCTTGATTTACAAACTCTTCTATTATTCATATGTTGTCTACTCCACTATATTCATGGTATGTTGTCTACTCCACTATATTCATGGTATACAAACACCTTTTTTGTTTGGAAGATTGCCTGTGGCTTTATTTCCTTGACTGGGTTCCCCAAAGAAGTCATTATTCAGTAGGTATATTGTGCCACATAACTTCTTGATAATACCCAATGATACCTTTATCCATTCACCTATGCATTATCTTAAAATGTTAATATAACATTAGTAGAAATTGTTGCTTTTATTTTCCTTTTTCTTTTGTAGTTTTGATGAGATGGCTAAATATGACATTCCAGCTTCCATTAATTTCATTGTTAATCAAACCAGACAAGAAGAAATATTTTATGTAGGACATTCACAGGGCACTACTATTGGTATGCCAAGGATTATTTCTATTTTCATATTAATGACTTTAAGTAAATAATCAGTAACATGTAAACTAATGTTTAGTATCCTTTGTATATGAAAGCAAGGAGTTAAAAATACACTAAAAGTAAATATTAAAACAATTTTCTATTTCCTTGAGTCTCACATAAAGTATAAGATTCATCTGTAAGAAAATTTTATTTCTCATTTTCATCATTGCCAGTTATAAAATGTTCAATATTCCTGTTTTTATTCAATGTAATTACTCCTGATTTTTTAACTGTAGTGTTCCAAGTCTGGTTTATTACTAAGTTGTCATCCTTTATCGTTATTTCTTAAATTCTAATTATCAGCACTATGTTGTGATCAATATAATGTGACATACTAGACAATCAAAAATGTTTGATAAGTGAATTAAGAAATGGATGAGTAAATTAATGTAAATTAATTGTTCAGATACTATTTTTGGGCCTTTATTTTCTATGATGTCAATTTTTATGTGCAAGTACTTGCTTAAGAATATCTTACTAATTTATTACATATTTTCTTTCAGCTTTCATAACATTTTCCACAATACCAAAGATAGCTGAAAAAATCAAAATATTTTTTGCCTTAGCACCAGTTTTTTCTGTCAAACACACAAAAGGCTCTTTAATTAAAGCGACATACAAGTTGAAGACAATAATCAAGGTATGTGTGTGTGTGTGTGTATAATATATATATATATATATATATATATATATGTATATGTAGTGAGAGAACAATTGTATTGATGAGTCTGTCTGAGGGGATTATGGGAGGCAGGAGAAGGAAAGAAAATGTTAGAAAATGAAAAATCTTGAAACAACCTATCTATGTATGAATATAATATAATGTACTTTACTGTAAGCTGTTGAATATTAGGGGAGAATGGTGATAGAGAAAGAGTAAGTAACTGGAGGTGGCATTAATTTGATTAAAGGACAGTGTAGACACCTGAAGTACCAAGGTGAAACCACCTTAGACCATCAATATGCACTCAAAAACGATGAAGCACAGGAGGATAAGATAGGTCTTTTGGGAGGTTGGGTATCAGTGGGTGGTGGAAGAAAAGGGTGAATGAGTGTGACTATGATGGATGTATGTTGTATTCACGTATGAAAATAGAAGAATGAAACCTGTTGATCTAAGAAAGGGGGAAGGAGAGAAGAGGGAGAATGATGGAGAAGGTAAATCTAACTAAGATACATTGTAAGTGCATATGCAAATATTACAATGTATCCCCTTGTACCACTACTATATAGTACTCAAAAAAAAAATCAAGGTATGTCCTACCTTTGTTTTGCGCAGTCAATAACACAATGACAATGATTCTGAGCTTTCAAAATGAGTCTTAGAGGGAGAGATGACGGGGGCAATGTAAATAATGTGCAGTATAAGACTGATCAGAATTGTCACTGCGAATTTCCCCCATAATGAATATATCCTAATAAAATATTTATAATAAAAAAGAGCTCTAAAACCCAAAAAACAAAATAAGTCTTGACTATGTTTGCACAGCCACATCTATGAATTGGGATTTTTAGTTTCATTTACATTGGACTCTTGGCTTTGTTTCTACAAAGATATGCATGTTGCTTGTTATACCTTTAGTACCTCCTTGTGAGAGAAAATCCAGTGATGAAATCATCACTATACCCTGTTCCCAAGTTTTTATCTTAATTTAATTTTGGGGGGGTAATGGGACTTGAACAAGGTAGGCAAGCATTCCAGCAGTGAACTCCATTCCCAACCCCTTAAGTTAAATGTTTTAAACTACTGTGAGGTAATTCATTTGGTTGTATACATAATAAACTCATTGCATTATTTCTTAATTATTATGGTCTTCAAATGTGGGTAAAATAAATTTATTTTACAGGCTTCTTCTAGAAACACAGACTTTTTACCTAAAACCTCACTTAACAAGTTTCTTGGTTGAAAGCTATGCCCAGTACTTATTTTTAAGAAGATTTGCCTCCATACCTTGTTTACACTGTTTGGATATGACCGGAAGAACTTAAATATGGTGAGAACAAGTTGCATTAAAATGTATTTTTGGCAATTATGGAACACAACTCTTAGAGCTTATGTTATGCCTTGAGTGTCATTTTGTGACTTATCTACATACACTAACAGATTTTATGACTAAGGTTGTACAATTAACTTGCATTGGCATGCTGGGATTATTTTGCTTCCATATTTGTCTTGTTCTCTATAAGACCAGAGAGTGGCTGCATTGATGTGTATCTTTAGTTGCTTTTGCTATTTTCTATTAGTTTCTTGAAATTTTTAATATTTGGATTCTCTTCTATTCACCTGTTTCCCGTACTCCTTCTCTTATACTCTTGTTCCTAACACCCCCCCCCCTTTCTGGGTTGATTCTGTAATAACTAGAATCAGTGCCTGTCAATTATCTTTTAGTTTGTAGCATTTCTCAATACTCTTACAGTGGCAAACTGCTGGGGAGTAACAGGACCCTTTGGAATGACTGTGTATATGTTCTCTTAAAGATGTAGCCATTCATTCTAAGACTTTTTACTATCATTAAATTTAAAATCCAGATTTGGCAGAAGCAGTTGCTACATTTAGATGGTGTTGGTTCTTGTACCTATGATTAAAAAAAACCTCAATCTGAATCAAGTTATACATTTAAAGAAATAAAGGTTTTCTCTTAAATTTTCAAATATATTTGAGGCTAGGAACATGTTTCACATGGCAGAGCACCTGCCTAAAAATCATGAGGCCTCAACCAAATTCAAACACCAGCATTGCCAAAAAGGAAAAAAAAAGGAGGTCAAATACATTTTTATGCCACAAGGACAGGTTGATTTCATCCAACTTTAAGAAGGTCTTATCTCATTCTCAGAGAGCTATATAGACAATTACAGAAATATGAAAGAAATGTTTCACAGTATCAAAAAACTCAGCTTTGCCCCCTTTGCCCACAATTTGTGAGACATCTACTTTTTTGCATTTAGGCAAACGAGAACTACTTTCATATCACATCTTTTTCATATTGTTCTGTCTACCCAGTATTATGTACTTACTACGAAAAACTTAGAGGAACCACAAATATAATCTTTATCCTTACTTGACTTATTTCATTCTATATTTTAGGTAGTACATTTGCTCAGTGCTACAGTTTTAGCAATTATATTGTGTCTCTGAAAATTATTCTTCTGAAAATTACTGAAAAATTATACTCTGGCTTCCTTGGCCTTTGAGTTTTTGTGGACCTTTTTTCTGGCACAGAAGTTGATTATGATATAGGCTATAATATAGCTCTGTCCTACAATATCTGGGATTGTTAAAAGTTAGAAGTACAAAAATTAATCTTTAATAAGTCCTCTTAGGCCTATCAAGATCTGTGAGAAAAGTAGGGGTTAACTCACATGATAAAAACCCTCTCTAATGTAACCTGGAAAATCTATCATGAAACAACACAGAATTGCTGAGAGTGGCTCAAGTGGTAGAGCACCTGCCTAATAAATGCAAGGCCCTGAGTTCAAACTCCATTACTACTAAACAACACAGAATTTTGACTTTGCCCAGTTGTTATGATCTTTGATGATAGAAATTTCTAACACTTTGAAAAAAAATTGATGAAAGTAATTCTAACTGAATGGCAGTAGCTCGTACCTGTAATCCTAGCTATTTGGGATGCTGAGATTGGGAAGAATGTGGCTCAAGACCAGCCTGGGCAAAAAAAGTTTGTGAGACTCTATCTTAACACAAAAAATCTTGGTGTGGTGGTGTATGCCTATCATCCCAGCGATGTTGGGGAACCTGAACTAGGTGGACCATGGTTGAGGCCAGCCTGGGAAAAAGCAAGACCCTATCTCCAAAATAACCAGAGCAAAAAGACTTGGAGATATGGCTCAAGAAGTACAGTGCCTGCGTAGCAAGTGCAAGGTCTTGAGTTCAAACCCCAATATTGCCACCCCCAAAAAGAAAGAGTTCTTTTTTAAGTCTATAATCCGCATATGAGGGAGAACATGCAGTTTTTGGCCTTCTGAACCTGGCTAACTTCACTTAAGATGATGTTCTCCAGTTCCATCCATTTACTTACAAATGACAAAATTTCATTATTCTTTGTGGCTGAGTAAAATTCCATTGTGTATAAATACCACATTTTTCTTAATCCATTTGTTGGTAGTGGGGCATCTTGTCTATTTCCATAGCTTGGCTATTGTGAATAGTGCTGCAGTAAACATGCTTCATTTTTCCATTTACATACATGTGTGCACAGTATTTGTACCATATTCACCCTTGTAAACCCTTTCCCTACATCCTCCACCCTCCCACACTGGTACCAACCCCAAGATAGGGCCTGTTCTGCCCTCCTGTTCTGCAATTTTGTAAATGAAAAAAAAAAAGACATTTTTGTTTCTTTAAGATAGCTATACAGGGAGTTTCCTTGTGACATTTCTATATGTATATTTGTATTACAACCCAAATTGGTTCATTTCCTCCATTTTTCTTCTAGCTACTTTAGTCCCCTTCTTATGGTGATTTCAACAGATTAAAAATTCTACATTCATTCTTGTATAAAAAATATATCAATCATATTCACCTTCTTAATTTCCTTCCTTTACCCTTCCTCTCTCATATGTGACCTCCCCTTAGTGTGACCTGTTTTTCATAATATTGCTGTATTTGTATTAGATCTATATTCCACATACGATAGAAAACGTGTAGCTCAGGTGAAAACCAACTATCCTCTTGCCTCAGACTCCCCAGAACTAGGATTATAGGCATGTGCCATCACCTTGGCTCTGTTACCCTTTATAATCGCCCCCTGTCTCCCTCTTTCCACGTCCCTAATTAGTTCCCCATTTATTTACATGCCTTCCCTGTACACTAGGTTCCACATATAAGAGAAGACATGTGAGCCTTGTTTTTGTGAGACTGACTTATTTCACTTTAATATAATGATCGCCAGTTCCATCCATTTTTCTTGCAAATGACATAATTTCATTCTTTATGGCTGAATATACACATACACCATATTTCATTTTTTTCCTTATTGTTGTGCTGGATGGGGGTACATCATGGCATTTACAAAAGTTCTTACTATATATCAAATATATCATATTTGAATTCACTCCCTCCACCATTCTCTTTTATCCCACCCATTCCTGGAATTGTTTCACAGGTATCATTTTCCTTTTACATACATATGTACAAAGTATTTATTCACTATATTAACCCTCCCACACCCTCTTCCTACTTCCTCTCCCTCCCCACTGGTACCAACACCCCAGGCAAGATTGTTCTGCCCTCCTGTTCTGTGATTTCGTAAATGAAAAAAAAATGACATTTTTGTTTGTTAAGATAGCTACACAGGGAATTTCCATGTATATATGGAAATGTCACAAGGAAACTTTGGGTTTATATATATATGTATATATATAATACATATGTATATAGTTTTATAACCCAAGTTGTTTCATCTCCTCTATTTTTCTTCTTTCTACCTTGGTCTCCTCCTATGTGATTTCAATAGGTTTAAAAATTCTATGTTCATTCTTGTATGGAGAGTACATCAACCATACTCATATTCATTTACCTTTCCTTTCTCATATGTGACCTCCCTTTAGTCACAATATTATTTTCATAATATTGCTGTATTTGTATTAGGTCTCTATTCACATATGAGAGAAAACATGCAGCTTTTGGCTTTCGAATCTGGCTAACTCACTTAGGATCATGTTCTCCAGTTCCACCTACGTACTTGCAAATGACAAAATTTCATTCTTCTTTGTGATTGAATAAAATTCCTTTGTATGTAAAATACTACATTTTCTTAATCCATTCATCAGTAGTAGACATCTTGGTTGTTTCCATAGCTTAGCTACTATGAATACTGCTGCAGTGAACATGGGAGTGCAGGTGTCTTTATTGTAATCTGACTTGCATTCTGTTAGATATATCCCTAAGAGTGGAATTGCTGAATCATAATTTCTTGTTGTTTGTGTTCCTGATAGTTGCCATTCTAACAGGAGTGAGGTGGAATCTTAACATGGTTTTGATTTGCATTTCCTTTATGGCCACGGATGTTGAGCGTTTGTTCATGGTTTTTTTAGCCATTTGGACTTCTTCCTTTGAAAAAGCCCTGTTCAATTGATTTGCCCATTTCTTTATTGGGTCATTGATTCTTTTGAGAATTTAGTTTTTTGAGTTCTCTTTATATTCTGGTTATTAATTCCTTCCTAGAGGAATGGGATATTCTCCCATTCTGTGGGCTGACCCTTCAATTTAGAGACCATTTCTTTTATCATGCAGAATCTTTTAATTTCATATAGTCTCATTTATCAATCCTTTCTCTTAATTGCTGAATCATTTAAAATCTATTTAGGAAGTCAGTGCTTATGTCTATTAATTCCAATGTTTTCCCTGCTCTTTCTTGCACTCTCTTCAATGTTTCAGTGAATACCATATTTTCTTTGTTCACTCACCCATGGATGCAGGTAAAAAGGTACCCCTATACATGGCCATGAGAATGTAAATTAGTCCAACTACTATGGAAATCACCATGGAAGTTCATCAAACAACAAAAAATCCAGAACTTCCATATGATCCAGCTATTACTTCTTGGTCTATATCCAATACAATAAAAGTGAATCACAGTTCACTTTTTCTTACTCCATACTGGTCTTGCTGAGTTTTCTGCTTGTGAGTCTCTGCTTCAGTAAATTGTGATTCTCTATATTCATCTATCTGTCTCTCTGCCTTTGGCAGGGCACTGGTTTCACCAGTGACCTCAATTCCTGGATGGATCTAAGAAGAGCTGTTGATTTCTAGGTTGTTTAGCTTTTTATTTATTGTTGGGATGGAGTGGTGACTACCATATGCATTCCATGATGGAAATGTAGACTCCTGTTTTCTTCTAAGTTTTTGAGGATATTTTTCTCATTGTACTATTCTTGGTTAAGAGCATTATTTTTTTTTTCTACCAGCATTTTAAAGACAGTAGTCCATCTTTTAACTTCTATTTTTTCAATGAGAAGTTACCTATAAGTTTTA